GCCTACCAAGCTTACTTAGTATTTGACTTTAATTTTGGTAGAAATGTAAGCTCTCCAAGCCATTGTGTACCTTCAAATAGCGCTGATGTTGAAGAAGTGCCTCGTAAATATACATAACACTTTTTTCTGTAATTATAGAGGCTGGGCTATGTGACCTTCTGTATCTCTAGTGGTGCCTTATTGACTACCTAATACACATAGCTATAAGGCAGGCTTCAATTTGACCTGGTGTGAACCCTTAACCAATTGTTTTCTCCACAACAGCGTTTGCTAATAATTTTTTCTCATCTTTAAGAAATCATAGACTGGTAATCTCAGCTGCAGCCAAGGCAGAGAAACCTTTCCGTTAACTTTTATGACCAAGATATGAGCCACATATTTTGTGAGGAAAATGCAATGCTCAGCTCAGTGACAGATAATATTATGCACATATATTTAAACAGGATGGTCTTTAATTTGACCAAGTCTAAAAATAAGCCTTTAATACCTGCTAATTTAAAATCACACTTGGGAGCAAGCATTGCAGTCCCTCTATAGGGCTGCTGGGGTCAGGAAATTGAGCTCTCTTCTCCCATTAGGATTTCCCACTCAGCAGGTGACCTCTATGACTCTCTCTGCGAGAAGAAAGCCATTCTGTAAATTACCAAATTCTTGCTTTTGACATGATAAACAGATTTCACCCCACGGTTTGAGCTCCCACAGCAGCATAAAGAACTTCTGCCTTCCCAGATGTGCAGACGGCATGGTGGTCAGGGAGAAACAGGACTGTGCCACGGAGTGCCTGGCACTATGCACTCTCAGGCCATGGGCGTCTCGTGCTGGCAGCATCTCTGGTTGGTGGAACACACCTGGGTCATGCCACCCGTGGACAGCAGGACAGGTGGAGAAAGAGCCTGCTCAACTCATCCGGTCGCTGCATCAGACCTACTTTGTGCTATGCCTACCTGGCTACAAATCCAGATCAAGTTTCTAATAAGATGCCTTGAGTTAAGGATGAAAACACCTCCCTTAAAAGAAAAAGGAGCTGGCCAAGAATGTTGACAAGCTGAGGCTCTGCTCCTGTATGCTTATTTATGAGCTTTGGACTGATTTCTTTATGCTTTGAGTTTCTTTTTATATCAGGAACCGGAACAGCTACCGGGGCTGAGCCTAAGGCATAGTTCTGCCTAATGGGAAACTACCTGATGTTATCCCACTTTTCTTCATCATAAGCTTTGGCAGCTACATAAGAACTTTTTGTTTGTATCTAAAACTGCTCTCTGTTATACTTAGCCCTCTCTTCCCTAGGAGACATTACCTATCCTGCTTCTCATAGTGAACAGATAACGTGCAGTTGTACTCTGGACTCAACTCATTGGGAGAAATATGCTAGTACTAAATATTTGTGAAGGAGCCCTATATAACTTCAATTTGTCAGCACCTCTTTCTCCTGCACCTCTTTCCTTGTACCTTATTCAGAAATACTAGTAAGCATGCAATGCAGGATGAGCTACATTTCACTTGCTATGCCATTCTAATATTATGTGTTGAAACATTTGCTGCATAAAAATTTTGAGTTTCAAAACTGTTAAGTTGAAAAATTTCCATTTCCACGACAAAGTCTACTGTAAATGACAGTATGTTCAGGGAAAAGAGCACTTTCACATTCAAATTAAAGCATAGAATTGTTAAAGATCAAAGTATGCCTGACCATTTCAATTCCTTTTTGGTGGAATCAGAAAACTACAATGAGGAAAAAGGAGTGTAAATGATGTGTAAATTCCGTTATATGGTATCCTGAAAATATTATTTTTATAACTGAATCAGACAGGGAAATGAAGACTTGTTATTTGGATTGTTCAGAGAACCTTACAGTTGGATAGCAAGCAAAAAGTAAATACTGAAGTAATTTGTGCAATTGAAGCAAGTTGTTTAGTCAGGTGCAGCAGGGACCATTGTTAGAACTTGTTTTACAAGCATTTAACATTTTCATTAATAATCTGAAAGACAGGTTTCACAGCATGCTAATTAAATGAAGAGATAATTCTAAGTTGAAAGAAGTCACAAAGCATCAATGAAGACTGAGACATATTGTAACAGGATTGAAAAGATCAGAAAACTAAGAAAGAGAAAATGAGATTCAGACTCGGAAATGTGCAGTCAGAGGTATCTTAATAAAAACTGCCCTATTCAGGAGAGAAGTGAGCGAGAAACAAGCAAAGCAATAATCCTGAAGGAGTATGTGAACTGGATATTGGTTGGCATGTGATGCAGAATATGCAAAAACTACCTTCATTCTGGGCTTCCTGTGAAGAAGTCTGTCCCTTAGAGAGCTTACAGCAACTTTTAGGAGCTCAAGGATAGAAGCAGTCTCACACATTCATTTAACAGGAAAAAATTAAGAGGGTTGCACTAAAGATCAGGCAAGAGGCAACTGAGGTTGTGCTTAAAAAAATACATGTATTCAAAGAATATAAAGACCAGAAGAAAACTAAACCTGGAAATTTGAATCTGGTAGAAAGTCTTCAGTGAGGAAAAGAACTAACATGATCTAAGGTACTTAAAGCAATGGTTCAGTGTATCACTAGACAAGGTAGTATAAAGAAAATTCTGTCAGGCATGAGGATCAATGCAGTATAGCTTTTCTATTTCCTATGTATTCTCTATGATTTCATCTAACAGTTAAGGCAATAACTTTTATTTAACATGAGTTAAGCTTGTTCCTAAATCTCACTGGAGTGAGTAAGATACAATGCTGTAGTGAAATTTCAGCACGCTGTAATATGAAATCAATGCCTCCCAGTGCTTAGAGTTTTCTTGCTTTGTCTTCAGGACTGCATCTTTACAGATGGTCCCACAATCCATTGCAGCATTAAGAAGTAAGAAACACTGAAAATATCATTTGCCCGTGCACCAATCCCAATATCTTATGGTACTTCTCTTCCATTTTTTCAGCCAATCCATTATACTACATTATCTCTCACTAACAGCCTTACCTCTCTGGGGTGGGTGCCACAAATGACATACAGCAAATGACATACAGCAGTACTTGGGCAAAATCCTAGAAATTTAGGAGCCTCAGTTCCAATTTCAAAAGGAAGAGAGGTGAATCCCAGCACCTAAATTTTTCTGTCAGCTCAGAGACAAGCCCTTTGCTACGTCCTGTTCCCTGTGCTCTAGGGTTTTCCCTGCTTGTGTATTCCAGAAGAGGAACATTGGCCAGACATAGAGGAGGAAAGACTGGGAAATGTGGGGTAGGTTTAGAGCTGGGTGGTTTAGGGCTAGGAAAGCAAAAAAGTGGGTGAATATTTAAGAATAATGCATCATTTCTAAGCCCTGCAAGAGATAAAAGTTAAATGATTCTGTAATTCTCCATGAGTCAAAAGATCCCATTGACTTCAGTGGGATACTTTAGCCACTAATGATATAATCCCTAGACCATATTCTCTCTTTGGGCTCACTTCTGTAACTGAGCACAAACCTGGTTCATGGACTATCAGAACCGTCATATTTCTGTTACCTCTTCTGAGTCTCTCTGGAAATATTTCCCTTTGGTACAGGGTGCTGCAGGGAAACAGCTCTTATGACTATTTAAATTGTCTCTTAACTGGTTTGGAGAACTGCAGCTTGAACAAGCCACATGTGAGTAATATTCATATGGCCAAAGGAGCCGACAGGGAAGTTGGAGCAGGCGTTCTTCACTAATCCTCTCTACTGCTATGCTGTAGTGTAGGACTTCACTGGACAGCAGCCTAGGCCAAACGTGATAACAAAACATGTCCCACTAAACAGAGTGGCAGAAAAGCATAACTCTCTCCTGCACAATTTGCAGCTACAGCACACAGTTTGTTACACAGCTTCTTGCACATGAGCATCCATGAGCAGAAAACATGCTACAGATTCTATCTGCACCTTCATTTTTTTATCAGACAGTAACTACTACATATACCCTTTCTGCTGTATACAACAAGTGCATGCCACATGTCCAGGGCCCTCAGTACATCTGAGTAAACACATAAATTTACACATCTCAGTGTACATTCACGAGGCAGCAAGGCCAGGCCAGAACTATAGAGAGTTTTTGTGATGTGATATTAATTGATTTGATACGAGTGCTCTTAAATACCATCTTTTTTTTTTTTTTCCTTCTACTTTCTTTTTAATTAAATTCCATTAACAAAGTGTTACCCTTTGATTATATTCTCAACCACAACTGACTCAGCATACTTCACTTGTTGAGGTGGGAAGTACCTAATTAGGATGCCAATCTTCTTTCATGTTATTTCTTTATGAGAGAAGTAGTACTTCCAGTTGCATTGGAGAGGTATGACTAGAGGCATTAGATGAACAGAAATCCTCTTTAGAGAAGGATCACTGTTAGCTATTGCCTTTCAAACCATCTCTTCTCACAGAGAAGTCTCTTTGCTACTTATCAAAGAAGAAATCAAGGGACAGGTTCTCCAAGGTATTCAAGCAGAGGAGCAGGGGTATCCATGAAACTACATTCAGAGTTTGTGCCCTTCATGAATTCGGTGAACTTGCTCTGTATGTACATCCACACACCAGAAGTAGGGAGCGGGTGCTTTCTGACAATAAATACCCTAGAATTAGCTGCTATGGGGATACTGGGTGTTGACAAGAATATGGACGGCTGGCTGAAGAGATCATTTAACCCTGCTAGTAATGAGCTCATTTGAAACAAGCTCTCTGCTACTAATTATCACTTGGTTCTGATTGATTCATCACCTGCTTTGATGGTCCTATTTCATAAACAGAACATGAACTGCTGAGTTTAAGAAACTGCATAATTTGCAGATATTGGTGAAAATGGATATTGTGTCAGTTACTGCCAGACTGATTTAATCCCTCTGCTCTTTGTATGTGTGTGCATGTATACACATATATGAACATGTAATTATTGTGTACTTGCCTATTTGCCTATATAATATTTTAATAAAGATAGTATTGCAATCTAGTTTGTATATCGCCCATTACTCTAGAGGAATAAGAATTTCCCTTACCTATTTCAGTCATGGATATCCCCGGAGCTAATTGCCCATTGTTGAAAGAGCTATAGGTAAACAAGTTTGGTACAGAGGTGAGGTCATAGATAGGTTCCTGCTTTATCTGTTTGATTCCAGTCATGTCTAACCCAGACTGGTCTGGGGAAGGCTGGGCAGAATCCACGTTATAATAACCCTCAGACTTCGGCAAGTCGATGACGTGCCCATTTGAGTAGGTGCTGCCAGTTTCATTATTCAGGTTGCTCAAGCCATTGCTGATACTGTTGCTGTAGACCCTGGCGAGGGCTTCTGCCTCACCGGTCTGCTGTTGCCGTTGTTCCTGCAGCCGCTGCTGGTGCTTCTGCACCTCAGCATACAAGCTGTCCCTCTGCTTTTTGGACATTCTTCCAAACTTCACAGCTGAAAAGCAAAGAACAATGTGAACCACTGTCATCTTTCATTTTTTCTTGATTCCCCTCAACCCCACCACTCTTTTGATATTTACTTTCAGCATTACCTTTGCTGTGGAAACTTGTTTGGTTTTTTTTTGTTTTGTGTGGTTTTTTTTTTTTTTTATGTGGGAATGACAGAGGATACAAAGATTTATACTATGTGTATCTCACAAAGGAAAAAGTATTGTGTGTTTGGATTTACAAGGTGACGACAATGACTCCTATTTGACAGGAAGGCCTCAGTCAAGCAACTCACTTCCCACTGTGAATGTTAAAAAGACCGTGCATCCTTTTATATCTCTGTGTTCACTGAACAACAACCCAGAGCTGGATGAAATGTACAGACTGTAGATTCATATCCCATGTGGTTTACTAACTTTCCACAAACCTTTAAACAGTGCACTAACAGGATTAGTACTCTGGATGAAAACAAGCCCTAAAGCCTTATTATCGCATCATTTCAATGGGATGTTATCTTCACACTTTTTAAAAAAAAAAAATCTTACAAGTTAGAGTTAGAACCTAGAGGAAAATAACAGATTTGAAGGTAAACATCACACATGAATGTCATCTTTTCCACAGAGGAAAGTCTCAGGGATTTACACAATCAATTTACATAATCTCTGTGCACAAATCCATGCATTCCTTCTGATGAGAAAGGCAGGAAAACATCAGAGTGTAAACCACTCTCCCCAGGAACAGGGTTCATTAACCTGAGATTGAAATTTTCAAAAATGACAGGCTGATTGCTGTGGAACTAGGAGGAGTAAATCCACAGCCTGCATATACAGTAGGTCACAGATGATTATCTTCCCACAACCCACCCCATCTCTCTATAAATTCTGGCTTTCTTCTGAGCTAGATCTTGGGGTCTCAGAGCAGAGCTATTTGTTAATCGTGTATTAAAACAAATGAGGGAGACACTTAACAGAATTTATCAGAGCACAGATAAGATGACATTGCTCTGGAAATACTAATTTCTATGTATTATGAGGTGTATTTTCTCATGCTGAGTATTTACAGTCCATATGTAATTGGGATCAATTCAGAGTCATCACGTTTATTAGCACAGGATGAGCTTGGCTCTCATTTTTGCTACCTCATTGTTCGGCTGTAGCCCTCGAGAAGAGTCTGAACCTAAACACGTGGATGAATGAGAAAATCATCTGACAGGAAAACAACAGGAAAGGAAGAGTGTAATATGAAAAGGCAGTGCCAGAACATCAAGGAGATGGGAGCCTCTTCCATTTATTTGCACTATTTTACACTAAGAGTTTTTTTTCTTGTTGCCAACCTCAGCTTGCTTACAGCCCTTCACACAGGCTGCAAGCTACCTCATGCAAACATAGCCTGCCCCTGGAATCAGTCCACAGTGCACTGCACACCCTTATGGACACTATACAATGACTATATTTTGAAAAATGCGACTGTGTATTTTCTTCAAATTTAGGGCCTCAGTAATAAAAACAAACACCCACTGTTTATTCTCATTATATATTCATTAATTGGATTCTCCAGCTGCTGTCAATTAGCATCCTGCCTCTGCATGATAAAAATGAATCTGTTACATGGCTGAGAGGTAAAAATCATATTCAATTTCTCTGTTAAAAAATCCATACAGCCTATTTTATACTTGCAAGAGCTCTTAATATCATTAAGTATAAACCCTTACATAAACGATGAGAGACAAAAGCAATGCTGTCAGAAGAATCACTCCCTTTGTCTGTAAGCAGCAGCCCCTGAATTATAGGTTAGGAAGACAGTGCTGTCAGTCACATTAAAATGCCCGTGTTACTTCAAATCATTGGAAGATACTACTTTCAGGAGCAAAGCACGTGCCACTAGCTTACTGAAATGTTACTACTTTAATCTCCTCCAGGAAGAATCAGGAGCTAAGGCATCAAGTAAGCTGCATGCTAGGACCAAGAAGAGTCCATGGATTAAAGGCTAAACTGCAAGGCCCCTCCCGGACTTGTGACACTGGTGAGCAAGTCATTTCAGCAAGACATGAGATATACTGGAGTAGTAAGAGACCTGTTACAGTCTAAATTTAAAATGAGTTTATAATTTGTGGGCCATCTAAAGAAATAGCTCTTTAAGTACCTTCTCCATCAATGACTGTTAGTTTCCAATGGCACATTTTGTGTAAACTTTCTAAGGCAGAAGGCTGCTGCCAGGCAATAGAAATGATATAACCTGCCTTCAAAAATAAAACATTTTCTTCTCATACTTCCTGACGATTCAAAATGTATCTGTGAGCTGGAAACTCCCTGCACAAGCAGTGGTGGTTGGGGTAGTTTGGCTGTGGGCAGCCTTGCCCAAGCCTCCCAGTGCCCACAGCTCTGGTGCAACGAATGTTCTCAGACGGCTGATCACGGCTTATCACACCACAGCCTGGAAGGTGGTCCAGAGCTCTGCAAGGACCAAAGGAACCTGCTATTGGATATGCTGTGGAGCTTTCCTCTGATGTAGTGTCCATTTTCAATGCTGAACTACGAACGTTTCTTCTGTAGAAACAGACAGGGAGCAATGTACATGTAAAAGAATTTTTTTTTTTTACCAATGCAAAATATTTGGTCAAATGTTCTGAATAAAGCAAACAGAAACCCCTAATCCCATCAAGGTGTAAATTTCTTCTTAACCACCTATTTACTGTCACAGACCTTTAGAGATCTCAAGGAAAGGGATGCTTTCACACATCAATATTTAATGTTAAGATAAATGTTAATGTTTAATATAAGAGTTTTTCTAAACTGGAATACAAATCTGCCTCTCTAGAGGTGACCTTTTTGTGCTTTTGATCAGAACAACACATTTCACTTCTGACTCTTTCTGTTCCAAATTAACACTGCTCTCCATTTTCTGATTTCCCCACCCTGCCCATGAAAATACCCTCCTTTGTTAGCTGAATGGCAAAGGTCTGTGTCTCACAGTATGTGCATTACAAAGCAAGGAGCTTCTCCTCTCTGTTTTCCCAGAAATGTACAGGCAGTTTAAGTAAGTCAGCAGTCAAGAATTGTTTCAAAGGGTTTAGGCGTGAAGCAGGAATCTGACTCCTTACCATCTCGAGACATTCCCAGGGCAAGACATTTCTGCAGTCGGCAGTGTTGGCAACGATTTCTGTTGGTTCTGTCAATTAAACAGTTTCTCTGCCTTGGGCAGGAGTAGGAGGCATTGTTCTGCTGACTCCTCCGAAAGAATCCCTAGGGGTAAGAAAGCAAGAGAGACAGAGTATTACCATGTGCATATATGTGCACACACACACACACACAAAGAACGATGTAAATGACTACAATAAATTCTTATTTTGTGCAATGCTACTTATGTGGTGGCTTTGCAGATGTGTTGGCCTTGCGTAGTGAAATTAAAGAACATTTAACTACAATAAGGAGAATTGTGCTTTTTTCTGTAAAGAATGTAGTTCTACTTTGTTAAAACGGAAACAATAATGTTACAGAATACATTCTTATTGTACCATTTAATGCTTGTGCCTAACAGAGGAAAAGCTTGTCAGCATTTGTAAACAGATGACTTAAAAGTACTTGTTCTGACTATTTTCTTCCTTTATGAAAGAGACTAGTAGTCACCGTCACTGGCTATGCATAGAATTAGAAGCTGAAGTCTACCGTTCAATTTATCCTGGCAAATGTTGATCTGATCTGGAGGGACCATACACTTCAGGAGTGAAAAGTAATTCAAATTCAAGCATGACAAAAGCACTAGGATTCAATGACTGTATCAAGTAAAGCCAACACACAATGGAGAAAGCAACACCTTTAGAGACTACCATGAGAAAGTAATGACATTTTCCATTTCAATGGAAAATAACATTATCCATTTTATCTATGTAAAAATTTGTAGATATTCTATCTCCTAGAAGGTTTTTCTGGCCACTTGTGGGCTATTTGGCTAAAGATCAGAGGGCTAGAAGGAGAGTATTAACCCATACCTAAGGTCTTATGAGCTCTCAGATGCCACGAATGACACCGAGAAGTACCTTTATGGTAGAAGTGACATGAAATGGCAGTGGTGACAAGAGGAATTAAATAAGCGGGTGAGGATTAGAGAGAGAAGGGGAGAGGGAGAAGGCATTTTATGATATTCTTTTTTTTTGCTGTAAAATAAAGGACAGAAAAAACAGGTCCAGAGAGAGAGAAATAAAGAAAAGTTCCTTGACAACTTTGGCATCTTGAGATGCAAACACCTGTGGGGTTGTGTGGTGGGAGAGATGAAGGACAGCCTAGACACCACAGGAAGCCACGAGGAGAAAAAAGGCAGAAAGCATCACTATTGCAGTTACACTAGTCACCAGAATTGATGCCAAAGTGGTTGTACCTTTCTGGGCTGCTTTGCAAACAGCTCTGAATAGAGCCAGAAAGCAAGAGCTGACTTCATTTATCAGGCAAAATCAGTGTTATCGCCACACAGGCTGACAGACGGTAATACTGAGCAATGGAAGTCGCAGCAGCCATGTGTTGTGGGGGAACTAGAACGGGGAAGCAGCAGGGCGACAGTGTCACAGGGCTCAATTGGCTTGCTACAGGAGGTGCCTGAATTCTCGCTGAAGTCCTGGTGAACTCAATGAGGATGGTGTGCGGTGTCAGTAATAACAGATGAGGGGCATGGTGTCCCACCAAGTACACCTGCAGCGCTAGTTCCTGAGGTCGAGCATAAAGAGACACACTTTATCTGGCACATGCTGCTTTTATCAGTGGTTACAGTATATCTAAAAACCAAAATAAGTTTTATGACTTTCATTTTTAAGAATGTGGATGTCCTTTAGGAGAACTCAGAAAAAATCTGGTGGGGACTTATCTGATCCTGGCTGATGAAAACTTTGCTGAATCTACGGAGGTGAGTTTAATTTAAGGCTAAATGGATGCTAATTGCAGACATTTCTACTCTCTTTGCTGAAATTTACAGCCAATTTTGTTTTCACATGCGAAGGATTTTCTGTTTTAAAGGCTTAGATGGTAGCAGCTCCTACATGGATATGGATTTAAGGGAACAAATGAATGAAATAATATTAACACCCCCCCCCCCAACCATCTAGGATTGACTGTGCCTTATCCTGTAGTACTGTTTTTTTCCCCTTAAGGTTGATCTCATCTCAGAAGAATATGTTTCTTCCTTCTTTGCCCCTTTTAGGAAAAAATCAAGTGTTACATAATAAAATTAGTCTACAGCAGGTAATTTATTTTCCTGAGGAGGGTTTTGTACTCTTTTTCCTGTATAATATCTAAATGTTATCTTAAAAGTACAGACAATCCTTTCATTTCATTTTTAGGGGATCTTTATATAATATAGGCTATATTTACTGTGAATAATACCATTTGGGGGAAGGAGGGTGCAGCTCATTACTGAGGAGCTACAGACTTAAAATAGGTTTCCCAATATTCCCAACACATGACAACAAGCCTTTCTTCATCTTGAACACGTCACTTTATCTATCACAGACAGTCAATATAAGAAGGGAAATGGTCATGTGAACTTCTCTCTAAATCATGACAAAGAGGTGGTAGCAAATACTTTGCTCTGGGGGTAGGCAGGAGAGATGATAAAAAGCTTCTCAGCAAAAGGAGCCACAGAGACAGATGGGATGGAAAACTTTCTTCAGGTTTCATCCTTTCAGTGGCGATAGTGGCAGAGCCACTGTATTCTTCAATGCGTCCAGCAGGATATTCAGCATATGCAGGCATGCACACAAAACAGCAATGATATTTATGAGGCTCCTTAAGCACTTATAACATGCATTTGCAGCAGCATAGCTAATATAGGGTCACAGAGTCAAAGGATTTCCTGTCCCTCGAAGTTTATAGTACTGCTACTGGCAGTACAATCCTCAGATGCTGTATCCTGAAACACTGCAGCTGACTCATGCTGGGCTCAACATGTATGCATGCTTGTGGAGCGGTTCTAACCTCTTTCTTCCACACATGGTCTCCTTCTTAATTAATTCAGATTCCTACCACTTTCAGACAAAAGGTGCCAGAAATGGCCAGTTATTAGTATGCGGGCTGAGCAAATACTTATTCAATTGTTGGGCAATGAAGAGCAGACTTGCACTGCCTGAAACAGAGCTTAGCTTAAAAGAGAGCCCTGACAGACCAAGATGCCTCCCACTGGACTCGATGTGAAAACTGACATCTTCTTTCACAACAGGCTCACAAAACAAGATTAGACTAATTGATCTGATACTGCAAAACTGGCACAGAAAACAATAGGGTTAAAACTGTTGTAAGTGGAAGAGAATCTCTTTATCTCAATAAGCAGTCTACACACAGAGCTGAGGGGTATCATCTCCTCTTGAGGCACACACAAGGGCCAGCATTAACCCTAATCACATCTACAGGACACTCTACCCCTAACTGCTCTGTGGGCACTGAGTACTGAGACAGGACACTTTTTTTCTGCTTAAAGAATTTTTTCCCTGTAGATTTTGTGCCAATTTTGAATTATCAGATCAATTAGTCTAATCCTGTTTCATGTGGTCATCATAAGAAGATGCTTATTTCTAGTCCAGTGTCACAGCAAGACAATGACACACTGTGGGCTTTTCCATTTACAATTGTTAACGCTTCTGAAAGAAATCTGATCTTTGACATATATTGCTTCTCAATGTGTTGGCATTAAAAGCTTTCTTTTGGGAATGGGTGCACCCAAAGTTTCAGATTTTATGGATGTTCTAAAATTTTGTAAAGCATTAAGTAAATACAGACTTGCCATTTCACTCTGCAAATATGCACCCACTTTCAAATGTACCAGTGTGTGTGTTTCCACATAGAAGAAATCAGAGATGCTGTTTCTCCACCTTTGCAATTTCACAATTTACAATCAAAGCTGAAAAACCAACATGTAGTATGACATTTTGTTTTTCCGTGATGTAATTCCTTAGATAATAAAATCACAGAGTATTTTTAAAGTTGAAAATTGAAGTGTTCTCTTGGCTTGGGGTCTGATTTGTGTTATTAGAACTAATGTCTGGGGTAATACGTCAATATGACTAAGCAGCATGGAAGGTTTTTTTGCCCCCTCCCCTTTTTTTTAACCTCCATTTCTCAGCAATTCTGTTGAAGCCTATAAGGAAAAAGATAAAGGATCCTTTTACACTACTCATAATGTAAGGCATTTTTGTCTTTTGGAGATTACAATTCGGCCTGCAGAGAATACAGAGGGGACAAAATAGGACCAAACTGACACCTGTAAGCTTTTAAGATGTTGAACTGAAATATTGCACCAACTTTTAATGCTACATGTATTGTCTAGGAAACAAGATAAGAAATTCTTCTATCAAGCTGATTTAATGTAGAAGAGGTGTGACTTACAGTTGCCAGCCTCTGTATCAGCACTTACACTGCATCAGATGCGATTAATTCATGTTTCAAATGAGGAGGTAACTCTAAAGACTATTTAATGAAAAGGAAAGCAACTAGTAAAATTAGGCATGAAACACATCTATATCAGCAGCATGCTCTACAGCCTTTGGCAACACTTGCTTGAAAGCGTGTAACAGTGTATTATTGTACACAGATGCCTGAGGCTAATGCAGATGCTGACGACTATGCTGTATTAAAATCTTATACCTTGCAGCCTTCACATGTGATGACTCCATAGTGTATTCCAGAGGACTTATCACCACAAATTTTGCATGGTATCACTTCAATTTGCGCTGAAAAAGAAAACAAGACATATATTTTGGGTACATAATTCTAGTTAATTTCTTTTTTTCTCAAAAGAAGATCTTAAAAACTAGATCTAGATAGCAGATAACCTCTTCACCCCCCTGACAATATAAAGCTGCTTTGTATTATACTGTGTGTTTCTGAATGCTTTGATTTGGCAAATTTTAATTGCTTCACATTACGTAGTTTCCACCATACCCCACAAAACTCTTCAACAATTCAAGTTATCCCATGATTAGCAAGATTTTCCTCATATTCTCTTTTTTTTTGTTGTTTTTTATTTGTTAATTTCACCATCATTATTGCTAATGACAGTCATTAGTGGTCCAAAATAATTATCTAGATTGTTCCTGCTTACACATTTCAAATATTCAAAACTTTTCATTTTGCTGAGGTAGAATTACATAGTATATTCTCATGCATTTGTCAAAGCAGCAGAGGTGATGAAGTTTTCACATCCTTCAGATTATGGCTTCAAGACACACAACGATACCAATCCCACTGGTAGAGACAGGCTTGCAAATGATTGCTTAACCTCTCCTTCTCTTTAAGTTATTTGTTTCAGCTCTGGGTCATGGGCAGGCAAGGCCGACAGACTATGTTTATGTAGCCAGTGGCTGTGTGCTGGGAGCAGCAGGTGCTCTCTGAAAATGTTTGAATATGATATGCTTCAGGTCCTTTTATAAACATAATGGACATTTAATTCAGAGAAGGAAAACATATTCCACTATCCTCGGTACAGTTTTTTTGCTAACATAGCTGTTTGCTTCCCTCAACTATTTTGAGTCTTGTGTGTTTTTCCTTTGACAATGTTGTAAGAGCACACACTCTGAAACGTAGGGAAGGATTATGCCTTTATTCTACTCAGATGTGTTGAGAAGAAATGCAGAACCTATTTTCTTTCGCTTTCATTTGTTTTCCTATGTGGGATGCATGTCTCCCTGAAATTCTCCTGCCACTTGCAAGTAGTATCATACTTGGTAAGGACCAATACTCATGGTAGATGACTTTCATCCATGACCAGGGCAACAATAGCAGCATTTCTTTGCAACAAGTTGCTCACCAAATCCCTGTGTAGCAAAGCTGAGAGCTTGTGTAGTAGGGCTACCCTAAGCATGAGGTGTGCTAATGGTTAGTACTTTAACTGATCACATTAAACTCCAAAACAGATTGGAAGACGGAAACAATATTATTGTCCAGATGCTCATCCTAAGAAGAGCATCCCTTTGCAAACCTGTGGGCAGTTGACATGCCTAAAAATGCTGGAAAAGGAGGTACTTTAAAATGACTGCACATTGTAAGCTAAACACTAAGCACATTTGTTCAGTGGATGCTGTGACAGTGTAATGATATAGTCTGGAATTTCTACCTATGGTCATCATTTGTCACTCTTAGCAGAAACTGACGGCTTCCTGACTTACCTTCCTACCACCAGGTGGTTAAACAACCAAAACTCAGAACCATGCCCATAGAACCACCACACTTCCCACTGAAAGGTGCATTGCAACCCCTATTCCCCTGGCCCCTTTCTTAGGATAAAGGCTTACCAATGTAAACTCCACAAGGTGAATACTAGCAGGCCCTCTTCTCTGTAAAGTCAAGTAACTATTCCCTTGGGACATCATATTCCAAAGCAACCAGGGAAGAGATACATTCATGGATGGCTAAAGAGGCTTTAGTCGCCCACTATGAGATGTTAATTCTTCACTGTGAGCTCAGTTTGCTGAGATAGTGCTTCTGATCAAGCACATTTTTAGGCAAGGCTTAGGCAAGCAAACCAGTTTTTAAACTGCTCCTAATCCAGGACAGATAGAACTAATTTTATTGTAGGAACTAGTAATTTCTTGTTAATATGTTCCGGATGGAGATGACCCAGAACCAATATCTTGCCTGTCTGTACTTAAGAAAATTCATATCTAGAAATAAAATTTCCCGTGTCATCCATAATTTTTGGGTTAGTTTCTGTATCCCGTTTTGTTTTTATGAACTAGGCGATGGTAGTTTTTTTCCCTTATTAAGAAACCAATACACATTAATCATCCTGGCATGACAGATGCATAAAAAAGAAAGCGATTCCTTATACAAAAGCATCTGCAATTCCTTGGCAATTTTGCCGGCTTGATCCTGTTCAAAAATGCCTTATCCCCACCGAGATAATTAAAACATTTAAATATGCACCTCCAGGTACTGCTGTCTGAGAGCCTAGTTTCAGTAATTGCTCACAGGTCTCTGCTTGAAAGTCATGTGGAGGGAGCAAGGCTCAGCTCTGGGACTGCATGCTGCTTTATGTTGACAAACCTCAAAGACATATGTCAATAATGTCAAAAGCAGGAACTACAGTAGGAATGTGAGGAGATCTTCAGAAAAAGGCAGGACAAAAGAAGAAAAAATCCCCCAAACAATAGGAAGGTACTTTCAATGTGACTTGCATACACAGTTTGTAACTGTGATAGGAACAGAGACAGAGAATTGATCCTGTGACACTTGTTGCATTTAGCACAGTACTTGTTACTGTGAGCAATCAATAATTCCATGCATGACTTGCAATTATAAGCACTACATTCATGGTAAATATTTATGGACCAAGTCACTAAATGCTAAGGCTCCAGGTTTCAATTAATATGAAATAAACACTTTAGACTTGTGACTCATCAGTTAATTCAAACCCTTACTCAAAACTAACCATTCTGCAAATTAGTAAATCCAGGATGTCTAGGAAATTGCTACCATGGCTCCTTAGAGAGCTCACCAAAAAGCCTGCATCTTTAGGACACAGAAGGCATTTGAAGAAGTTTATAAAAGTAGACTCTGCTACTGTCTCCTAGGCATTTCTTTTTGTTCATAAGTCAGTAGAACAATTTAAGAATTTGTAACAGAAAACTTGAGTCATTAGTTGTACAGGCCAGATGAAAAGGAAGTCACTGTATTCCCTGAAACCTCTGTGATTAGCACCCGGTGTACCAGGCTGCTTTTGCAGATTTAATGATTGTCAGAGGCCATTATACCTTTTTCACATTGTATCTTTGTTCAGCCGCCTATAATTTTATGTTATTCTGCTTCTTCCCTTTTCCTCTTAGACTGACAGTTTAGGGACCTGCATACCCTACCTCTCGATAGATATTATAAAATTGGCAGCTCACTTCTGAATTCCTTACAACTATAAAATGCATTGAATCACTACCACTTCCTGAATATTGAGGCAAAAATGGAATGAACTAATAATAGTGGAGTTGCCACAACGATAACTTTCAGCAGCACAGGAATATTTTCTCCCAATGTAGTGAAGATGAGGAGGGAATAAAAGCAAAACTACTTATCTCCACTTTTAAAGTCCTTCCACTTGCCTTCTTACCCATCAACTTCAATGATGTGAATAAACATTGCCTCTTTGCAAACAACAACACAGGTCTCAGCCGTCCAATTGTCCAATTTTTTAAAAAGCACATTCATTTTTCATCCTGTCTTGAGATGTATGACCCGATAAAAACCACCATCACCCTGATGCCTAACAAAACATTTATAATGTTGGGATACATGCTGCATTGTGATTGCTCCTTATGACCAACCATAACTTCTCTCATCAGTACCACAGCGTAATCCTGTCTCTCTATGGTATTCATCTCCTGTTTTATACTTAAGTCTAAAGTTGTTTCAGATTGGGAACTCCCTCTAGTTTTAGATGGCATCCTACAAATTAGAATGCCACAATGGAAATCAATTAATTCTACATGACAAGTGATAATAATCCACAGATGGTGGGTTTACCACCTGGAACCTAATTAATTTTCTCAAGACAACAGGAGGAAGAGTGGAATTCTACTAAGGAAGCAAATACAAAATCATCTCACACAGTCGAAATGAACACTTAGATAAAAACAAATATGTACTTAAAACCATCTTCAAACCAAGCACTAGCTATTTTCTCAAATATGCCCCAAGAGAAATAAAAAAGCACACTGAGATGCTTTTTCTTCTCTTTTTTTTTTTTTTTTTTTAAACCAGCAAGTACAAAATTTGTTATCCTAAAAGGAGTACAATAATCAGGTTTCAAGAAATGTTATATTGGTGAAATTAAGAATAAATCTGGAAGGACACACACAGTTAATTCGCTGAATTGCTCTTGAAACAAAGATAAGAGTCAACAAGGGTGTCCATCATGTATTTGTGAGGAGTGCCACTCAGATGCATACATTGTCTAATAAGAAAAAAGCAAAACTCACATTTTGTATAATCTCACTTTAACATCTGAGGAACTTCATTTGGGAAAGACAGGACTATAATCTCCTAGACCTGTAGCTTTGGTTCCAAGGGGAAAAACAGCTTGAGTTTTCAATATTTAGTTCTTGATCAAAAGTGGATACTAAAGCACACTGGGCATGAACTTTGAAGAAGAAGTCCTCTCTCTAATTTGATGATCCAGGAGGGATTGCACTTGGAAACATCAAGGCTAATGAGAGAACTGATAGCAAAAAAAAGCAGCTCCTTCACCTTCCAAGAATTCCCATCGTCCTTAAGCTGGAGTTCTTTGAAAAATGCTAGTAGATTGGCCCAGTTCACTTTCATGTTTGTATCCCTAAGTGATTTCAAATTAAGCATATTCAGCATTTTTATCTAGCTACCAACTCTGTTTTTTTTTAATCCTGACCTCTGTGAGTAAGACAGGCTTTTTTCCTTGCACATCAACATCAATAGGAGTTTCCACTATAGGTTAGGCTGCCGACTAGATCTTGGTCTCCCCTTTGCCACTGTATGAGATATTCTGTGGCTTCACAGCAAGACTTCAGGTGCTTTGCATTTGTATTTAATAACCTGAAAATATACAACTGAGGATACTAGTTATGTTTTCAGCCTCTGTCAAACCTCATGCAGTGAGAACAATATCTCAGCAAGATAATTAATGCCATCTAACATTAATTAATGTGTCTGTAGATACATTTGCTGTCAGCCATACCCTAATGAGCCATTAGAGTAAGCAGATATGATGGAATTCACCCAGGAAAATAATGTTTTCATAAAATCTTAGCATT